GCCGGCGGAGTGCCCAGGTCATGGACCTGGTTGACCACCGAACCCACGTCTGGTAGCGAGCGCTTCCCTTTAACAATTTCACGTGCTGTTGACTCTCTTTTCAAGTACTTTTCATCTTTCGATCACTCTACTGTGCGCTATCGGTCTCTAGCCGGTATTAGCCTTGGAAGGAGTATACCCCCTTAGAGCAGCATTCCAAACTACTCGACTCGTCGAGGAGCTTCACATGAGCATGGTTTCTACCAGACGGGCTCTCACCCTCTATGGCGTCCCGTTCCAGGGAACTCGGAAGGAACATAACTCGAAGCATCCTCTGCAAATTACAACTCGGACCCGAAGGAGCCAGATTTCAATTTGAGCTGTTGCCGCTTCACTCGCCGTACTAAGGCAATCCCTGTTGGTTTCTTTTCCTCCGCTTATGATATGCTTAAGTTCAGCGGGTATTCCTACCTGATCCGAGTCAACCGTTGCCGCACGAGGCGGCTTGTAGGGGGTTTAGAGGCAAGCGCCTGCGGGACTCCGATGCGAGCTGTAACTACTACGCAAGGAAGGGCACGCGGGTCCGCCACTGCTTTAAGGGCCTACAGACGTAGATCCCCACACCGGGCCACTGGGGCTCGAGGGTGAAACGACGCTCGGACAGGCATGCCTCCAGGATACTGGAAGGCGCCATGTGCGTTCAAGATTCGATGATCACTGAATTCTGCAATTCACACTACATATCGCGTTTCGCTGCGTTCTTCATCGATGCTAGAGCCAAGAGATCCGTTGTTAAAGTTTTAATAGTTCGCTAAGACACTCAGAAGTATCGTTGGTATAACAGAGAGACTGATGGACCGGCGGCTCGCAGAACGAGCCGCCGAAGCACAATATGGTTCACAAAGGGTTATGAGTAGATACTCGGTAATGATCCCTCCGCTGGTTCACAACGGAGACCTTGTTACGACTTTACTTCCTCTAAATGACCGAGTTCGGATACTTTCCGGTCCAGAACGGGGGTCGCCCCCACTCCGGACCAGTCCGAAGCCTCACTGAGCCATTCAATCGGTAGTAGCGACGGGCGGTGTGTACAAAGGCAGGACGTAATCAACGCAAGCTGATGACTTGCGCTTACTAGGATTCCTCGTTGAAGAGCAATAATTGCAATGCTCTATCCCAGCACGACGGGGTTTCACAAGATTACCCGGACCTTCGGCAAGGCAGTACTCGCTGGCCCCGTCAGTGTAACGCGCGTGCGGCCAGAACATCTAAGGGCATCACAGACCTGTTATTGCCTCAAACTTCCATCGGCTTGAGCCGATAGTCCCTCTAAGAAGTCGGCGTACTACCGGGGTATACGGACTATTTAGCAGGTTAAGGTCTCGTTCGTTATCGCAATTAAGCAGACAAATCACTCCACCAACTAAGAACGCCATGCACCACCACCCACAAATCAGAAAGAGCTCTCAATCTGTCAATCCTCGTGTGTCTGGACCTGGTGAGTTTCCCGTGTTGAGTCAAATTAAGCCGCAGCTCCACCCCTGGTGTGCCCTTCCGTCAATTTCTTTAAGTTCAGCCTTGCGACCATACTCCCCCTGGAGCCAAGCACTTTGATTTCTCGTAAGGTGCCGAACGGTCAAGAAATACACCGTCCGATCCCTAGTCGGCATAGTTATGGTTAAGACTACGACGGTATCTGATCGTCTTCGATCCCTAACTTTCGTTCCTGATAAATGAAAACATCCTTGGCAAATGCTTCGCAGTAGTTAGTCTTCAATCGATCCAAGAATTCACCTCTGACGATTGAATACTGATGCCCCGACTGTCCCTATTATCATTACGGCGGTCCTAGAAACCACGAAATAAGACACACGTCCTATTCCATTATTCATGCTAATGTATTCGAGCATAGGCCTGCCTGGAGCACTCTAATTTTTTCAAGTAAACGTCCTGTTCCCCGACACCCCAGTGAAGGAGATGCGGTTCCGCAGAAGGTGAAGCCCGGCCGACCAGTGCACGCGGTGAGGCGGACCGGCCGACCGGAGGCGAGCTTCTACTACGAGCTTTTAACCACAACAACTTTAATATACGCTATTGGAGCTGGAATTACCGCGGCTGCTGGCACCAGACTTGCCCTCAATTGTTCCTCGTTAAGGGATTGAATTGTACTCATTCCAATTACAGGACCCAAAGAGCCCTGTATCGGTATTTATCGTCACTACCTCCCCGAGTCGGGATTGGGTAATTTGCGCGCCTGCTGCCTTCCTTGGATGTAGTAGCCGTTCTCAGGCTCCTTCTCCGGGTCGAGCCCTAACCCTCCGTCACCCGTTGCACCATGCTAGGACAATACCGTAGCATCGAAAGTTGATAGGGAAGAAATTTGAATGAACCATCGCCGGCGCGGGCCGTGCGATTCGAGAAGTTATCATGAATCACCAAGAGAGCCCCGAAGGCATTGGTTTTGTATCTAATAAATACATCCCTTCCGAAGTCGGGATTTTCAGCATGTATTAGCTCTAGA